AGCTTGCTCATGTAAGGAAAAATAAAGAATGACTTCATTCATCCAACGCACAGACCTGTTAATTGCCCTCTGCTCTCACTCACAGCCAGCTTGATTAATTCCCATGCATAACTCCAGTTTTGTTTTTCTTTCTTTTGTTCCTCAGTTGATGTAAATCAATGTACCTCTACTGAAACCAAATTACTGCACTACACATCAGTTCAGGATCTGTCCCGATTTCTCTTTTATCCAATAATTCTGTTTAAATCAAGTGTAATATGTGCAAGAGTCATAGATTGGATAAGAAAGTTGGATTCAGATTTATTTTGGTAATTTCAGACTGAGATAAATACATCACTAATGAAAAACTAAATAACTTCATCAGTCATAGTCATATAAGTTATCTCAATGGGCCTGTGTAAGAGATGGAGCTTAGAAAGATTTTAAATTTGGACACACCTGAAATTCACGCAGGTGAACTTAGGATAAAAACAAAAGCAAAGCCAAACTATGCAAAATGTCATACTGGGCACTGTGCCTTTGATGAAGAGTTTTCAGACAGATCCTCACCTGGAATGAATCCGCAGGACCTCAGAACATCTCATGGAGCTCTGCTGATTCAAACCAGCTGAGAGTCTCACTTTTTTTGTCCTCTTCCTTTTGGGACAAGCTCTGTACTGGCACCTGAGCTTCATTTTCAGAAATCAAGTTTGACCACTACCTTTCCCACAGAAACTTAATGAAGGAACAGGGGCAGATTTTGCAGAGCAATCATGAATGCTAGGCTAGACAGTCCTCTCTGTCAGCATTTGTTTCCACACGAGGACAAATGACACTCCATGTTTCTTTGCAAATAGACCTACCAGCCAGGGCAACTAGCATCCAAGGAGTGGAGCAGCACAAAACTGCTGAGACGGTGCCACAAATCCTCCTCTGGCTACCCCCAGTGATGAAAATTGGCAGAATCTGGCTCTAGATTTTGTCCAGACTTTGCTTTCCTCCTTAGCCTGAGACAGTCTGGTTGCCAGAAGAGGGTGAAGCCCCAAGAGGACTCTCGCTTGGTTCCCTTCCTTTCTCTCCTCCTGTCTGTTTGCGTGTACCCCAGGTTCTGGTCGAATCCTGCCAGAAGTGCAGCAGCCGTTTTCCTTTTGAGAAAATACTTGCAAATGCATTTTGTTTCTGGCAGCCCCTCAGTCTCTGAATCCCATTCCTGGATGCATTCCAGGAAGTTATTCTGGCAAATAATTTACAGCATCTCCATGGCTCTTCTGAGGCAAACAGATCTGGGAGCTTTGCAGTGCTCCTCCTGCTCCCAAACATTTTTGCCCAGAGTCCCAGAAGTCAGCGTTTTTACAGGATGAATAGCAACAGGAAAGTTTCCCTGGTAGCCCTGTGTGAGGATGCTGGGGATCTTAAGGGATCCCTGCCTTTTCCCTCCCAGCCCATGTGAGCAGCTGCATTCACGTCACCACCGCTCCTGTGCTCCCAACCTTTCCCCATGTCTTTTCTTCAGGTATGTCTCAGCTATGACCACACCAGCTCGCATGTCACCCGTCGATTTCCACACTCCGACTTCTCCAAAGTCCCCCCCCTCCAAAATGTCACCACCAGCTTCCAGCTTGACCGTCTCCGTCCCTTCAGTGGCCGTGAGTCCCTTCATAGAAGAGGAGCGACCGCTGCTCCTGGTGACCCCACCGCAGCTACGTGAGAAGTACGACCGCCACCTTGAGCAGTTCAGCTCCTTCCACCACAATCCTGCCCACGAGACCAACAGCCTGCCGCCGAGTCCTCTGCGAATAGTGGAGGATGAGGAGTACGAGACCACGCAGGAGTACGAACCAGCACAGGAGCCTCCAAAGAAACTCACCAACAGCCGGAGGGTCAAAAGAACAAAGCCCAACGGCCACATTTCCAGCAGGGTGGAAGTGGACTCTGACACAAGCTCTGAGAGCAGCAGTTCTGAGACCGAAACCGAAGACGAAAGAATAGGCGAGGATACACCGTTCCTGAGCATACCGAACCCTGTGGCGACCAGTCTGGAGCCAGCTGCAGCCTACCGGCTGTCTGAGAGCAGGACTAACCCGGCGAATCGCTTCTCCACACCAGAAGAGTTGCAAGCAAGGTTGTCCAGTGTGATAGCTAACCAAGACCCTATTGCTGTATAAAACATAAAACACATAGATTCACATGTAAAACTTTATTTTATATAATGAAGTATTCCACCTTTAAATTAAACAATTTATTTTATTTTAGCAATTCCGCTGATAGAAAACAGGAGAGGAAAAAAACTTTTATAAATTAAATATACGTATGTACAAATGTGTTATGTGCCATATGTAGCAATTTTTTACAGTATTTCAAAATGGGGAAAGATATCAATGGTGCCTTTATGTTATGTTACGTTGAGAGCAAGTTTTGTACAGTTACAATGATTGCTGCCCCATAGTATTTTGCAAAACCTTCTAGCCCTCAGTTGTCCTGGCTTTTTTGTGCACTGCATTATAATGACTGGATGTATGATTTGCAAGAATTGCAGAAGTCCCTCTGGTCGCTTGTTGTAGAATCCCCAGATCAAAAGCCCTGTAATGGCACTCCCACCCTACCCAGCCCACCAGAAGAACATACATACACACACACACAGAGAAAGAAAAAAAAAAAAGCTGAGAAAACAAGAAAAAATATTTTCTTCTGTAAGAAGTTTTATTTGCTTTCCGTATATGAAACGAGTTTTGTCTGCTCTCTGCCAGCCAAAAGGTTTGCTTCTTTGAGCACTGGGATAATAGTAGATCCAACAGCATGCTACTACTAATTACAGTGGGATAACAAAAAATAAAAAACCAAACAAAAAAAAAGCCAACCTGCATTAAATAATGTTACTTATAGAAACAAAGTAATACTGTGATTTTAAACCAAATATATTATTAATCAGAGGTCAGCTTGTAATCACTAGGAGCTGCCATTTCATTATTTTCCAGATATTAAATTGTTCTAGTTATCCCTTAGAAAATGGGTTTAGGTTAGCTGAGGCTTTGAACTCAGTAATCTATTAAAAAAAGGAAAAAAAAAAGTAAAAAAAAAAAGAATAAAAAAAATATTTATGTTAGTTTAAGTTAATGGGGCAAATATAATAGATATCTGTAACCAAGCAAGGAAGAGATCTAGCTGGAAAACAAATGCCACTAATAAAAGTGCAATCAGTTTTCACTTCTATTTTTAATGTTGATTTCTAATAGATCCTTTCGTTTCCCCTCAATTTTCTCCCCTTTCTTCTCCTCCTCAGAAAGAACCTTGACAAGCTACTAGCAATACCTTGTTAGATTTGCTGTTGGAATAAAAGTTACTCTGGGACACAGAAATTACTTTCAGGGAAGAACTGATTTGCTGAATGGTTAAAAAGCGTAGGCAAGTAGGAAGGACATAGCGGAAGTATGGAGTTCGTTTCCACTCACCTTTGTTGACTCCATTATTTGAGATGAGAGAGGCAAGGCTGGTGCAAAGCCCATTTATGAAGGCAAGCACACCATGTTGGTTACAGCTGTCGTGTGTGTGACTATTTGGTGTCAGTGTTTATATAGCCAGTGACGGCCTTGAAGTCTTTGACTGGTAATGAACAAGGATGCTGTTGGTGCGGGAGTGATTGCATCCGTTCAGGCAGAAGCAAATGGCCTCTTTTGCACTGAATTCCTATCAGTTTAGTCAGGGTCACTCTGCCTCTTCTCTTCCTTTGATTTTTGTTGTGTGTTCAGTTGGCACAGCATAGACTCAGGATTGATGTGGAAAACAAATGTTTTTCCTAGACTCCGGGGATTCAGAAAATGAGAACATATGTTCCACAGGTATTACTGAACTCTAAAAAAGAGCTATGTCAAGAGAAAAAGAATTTCAGCCAAACTACACTCATCCTTTGGGCCACATCCTGGTCCCAGTTAAATGAAGAAAAATAAGTCAAGGAAATTTTGTGAGGTGTAAACCCAAGGAACTAAAGTCCTGACTCAGTAAATTGTTCAAGCATATGCTTACGCTAATCCCAGCAAAAGTTATCTTCAGCATGCGCTAAACTCCCATTGACGCATCCAGCGCGTGCATAAAGGTAAGCATGTGCTTAAGAGCTTTGCTGAGCAAGGTGTCCTATTGATTTGAGACCTGCAAGAAAGTCTAGTAGATGAAGTTGTTTATCAGGGTGGTGAAAATCAGTGAGTTGCTCACTGTCTAAATCAACCACATGGTCAGGGTGAGTCTACCTGACCACTAGTTTCAGCAGAAAAAGAACAAAAAAAATCTTAGTATAGGAAGATGATGACAAAGTTGTACTCTAGGATGTTGGTGGTAGAAGCAAAATGCTAGGAAACTAGCACAGCTTTGGGCTACGTGGTGGCTGAAATAGCACTACTTATTTGAGAAGTCTATGGGAGATGGCAAAGTTTGTTAAATACATACTGTATGGATTTAAGTCCCCTTTGCCATTTTTTCCCTAGCTGGCATGTACTTGAACATACTTTGCCTTTGCAGACCGAAACGAAAGCTGTCTACAAATTCTAGATACCGTACACTCATTTTCATCCCTTTAGTCATGCTTATTTATCTGCAATCCCATGCAGCAGAACATCCACCTCCCCAGTAACTCTGCAACTGAGGAGTACAGAGGGCCAGGTGGGCTTTCCTGATGCAAACCATCAGTTTCCAAAGGATTTGCACTGTTGACTTTCCAGAGGCACTCAAAAAATCTGTCCTTTCAGTAAGGTCTCTGATACTGCAAAAATCTTACAGGACAGGCAAGACAGAAAAAGGATGGCAGAGGAACAAGAGATTTGCCCCAAAATCACCCATCTTAATGGCAGAACAGAGATTGTAACACAGGTCTTCTGTAATCTCCTTCAGTATGGATCACCCACAAGGCCAGCTCTCATTAAAGTGTCTGTGATAGCCCGGACAGATTAATAAGGGTGGAAACGAAACTTGCCTTGAAGTGGAGTAAATTATTTGACTACTAACACTGTCATTATAGAGGGCCAGTATAAAACAAAGGAGCAATTGTGTGCTTGGGAGCTGTACATGTGAGATTTATTTGCTGTGGGTCTAGGGGAAGATGTCACACCTCTTCTGTTGCAGTGCCTCAAAGTCAAAGTAGTGTGCAGTCCCTGCTCCTCCTCCCCCTGGTACATACAGTAGTTTGTTATAGGGTAAGCATGAAATTGGGCTGGGGACTCCACATGGACCTAAGAACAAGAAAATACAATTGGGGATATGGCTGCCTAAGCCCTTAGGTCTTTGGGGAGAACCCAGCCTTACAGCACAACTCATGCAGCAGCAAGTTGCAGGAGTTGCCCTGGCTTGGCATGTGCAGAAGCGAGAGAAGGACGCGGCCCCGCACCGCTGGACTTGCTTTTAGCAAACTGTGAGGGTGCTTTGTGTCAGTCAAGTCCACATCCCGAAGTCAGCAAGTCTACAGGGCCACAGGTTCTGCTGGCAAGCTGCAGTCAGCTTCTGCTGGCCAAGGGGCTGGAGACTGCAGCAGCACGAAGCAGAGCCAGCGAGTGCCTACGGGAAAGGCTGTCTCCCCTGTTGGGGATATTTGCTTCACTACCTGGACCTCTGAGCTAGGCAGTCCCAACACCCTTGGGCTGTCACTGTGTAACCCTTGCCAACCTTTTTGGCTGAAAGTCACGGCAAGGAGAAACATACTTTGAAGAGGAGGGAAGTATTCCAAGTGGTGGCAGAGTTGGTCAGATTGTCCTGGTTTCTTTCCATGTCATTTAACTTGAGCCATGGGTTTTCCCTGTGTATGTGCTATATGCAGGAATTATTCCGGGATAAAAGGCTTCCGTCAGGGGTGTATAGCTGGACTGTGTTGTGCACAACCTGGTACAACCTGCCTGTTCAGCTGGAGTAAATCATTATGACTCCATAGAGGTTCTTATGTAATGGAGAAAAACCTACTCCCTCCTCTTGGCCCAGCTGTTCCCTTCCTCTCTTGAGCCACCCCAACACCCCCAGGTTTAAGAGATCAATCACTGCCTTTATCAGGGAAACAGGAAAGCTCCTTCTCTTTCCAGCCCTCCAAAAACAGCAGCACTGCATCTCCCTGCTTCTGTCACACACATTGCAAGCAGTTTCCTGAGCATCCAGAATAGCAAACTTGTGTCCCCTCAAAGGACACACTTCTCAGCCTGTTGAACGCTTCTTGGCCCTGCAGTGTGGCTACTTAAGATCAGCTGGGACTTACTTCTAGTAAGAAACAAAAAAAGCACCTATGAAATGCTGCAGAGAAAGGCAGACAAAGAACATGGCCAATTATCATCATTTGTAATTCCCTATTCTATTGTAAATACATCTTGTACATACTTGGATGTTTTCATCATTTACTGTCTTTATGGATTATGTGTTAAATGAGACTCTCAGTTTATTGTGTAACACTGTAAATAACATAACGTCCTCTATTAATTTATGCATAGGCATCTAACACGCGGAGAAAGTTATCCTCATATTATTTTAAGATATATGTCAAAAATACGTTGCATTTTTCTTTTTGCTTTGAAAAAAAATGTAATATATCCTCTTTTTCCCCTCTTTTCCTTTAAAAGAAAAATGAATGCTAATTTATTGTTCAGGAGAGAAAGGGGATGTAACTGAAAGGCAAACTGTTCAAAGAACATGCTATGGAAGCCACAAGCTACTGATAAACTAAAGAATTTATTATCCCAAATACAGCAATAAGTAATTGTTGATTTATTAAGGTTTTGTTGTTCATTTTCAGTAAAAGAGGTGCTGGATTAAATTGTTTATGTGTTGTACTGGCCCAGCTGCTTAGCAGACTGTGTCAGGTCACTAGCCACAATCTTTCTGGATCCAAACGCTGTTGTGAAGGTCTTCTTCTGTCTTTGTGGGCCACCGTTCCCTGAGTTTTCCAACTTGTCCCTATGGAGGTCTCTGGAAGACGCTCTTGTTCCTAGGTACAACATTTTTAGTTTCTTTAATTAGAATTATTAGCTTTATCCTGCCATTACTACTCAAGATGGATTGGAGTGGGGAGGCAGAAACAACACAGTCTTGGAGCTGTGAGAGCCTGCTTTACAAAAATGTCACCTCAGTGCTCAGTAACAGTCAATAAAGCAAATCAGACACTAGGAATTATTAGGTGACATCACCACGTCACTGTATAAATTCATCATTTTTGCAGCTCTTAAGTACAATGACTGTTCCTGGTCTTCTTGTCTCAGAATAGAAATAGAATAATGGGAAAGGGTTTGGAGGGCAACATGGGTGAACAAGTATCTGGAATCAGTGATGTCCAGTGGACTCTGAGCAGGCTGAGTCTCATTAGTCTGGAAGAACGGACAGACTGAACTGGCTGTTCAGTACCTTTTCCTATATAAGAAACTGAGTTATCAATCAAAACTAGTGGGCGCCTTATTCAGAAAGACATGGCTCTTCATGTGAAGTTAACCTGGAGAACTCATTGCTGCAAGAGGTTGTGGATTGTAAAAGTTTCTATTCAAGGTTCAAGGGTTCAAGGGAGGGCCCAGATCTTAGATGAGAATTACTCATCACTGGCCTGGATCCAGTGAGAATTACTAAATCCGTCGAAAGCACATCAGATGTGGGAAATACCTGAACTGAACACATAGAGTTTGTATAAGGTGGAAATATTGTGTATACTTGACCTGCTCTTCCCCTTCTTCACCTATTGCCCACTCTTGGAGAGAGGGTAGGGCAGATGTCTGATCTGGCTGTCCTTACATAATATTAGTATGTAAACTTGTTTGCTATTGACAAGCATTAAATAAGAGGAGGAAAGCAAGGAGTGACCAAAGGAGGGAGGAGTGCAGTAAAGACATCTTGGATGTTTCACACCCATTTGTTCCCTGGCCTGATGAAAACACATAGGTCAGATTCCTTCCACCT